CTTAGAAGCAGATATATGACCCCTGAAGGCAACTGGACTTTTCCCTGACAGCTTGTCACTCAACTTTTCCAAAGACAGGGTGGGGAACAATAAAAGACAGCTACTCTGGCTAGTGGCCTTGCAACCCACGTATTCAGCATTCTGCTTTGTGACTTTAATTGTACTCTGCCTAGCAGCATGAAAGAGCAGTTCTCCAAGGGAAAAAACAGGAGAATTTACTTTTTTTTTTTTTAACTAATGTAGCAGGAAGGTCCCGGTAATAAACTAGGAACTTTTAGTTTATCATGAGCGCTGAAAAGCAAAAACTCCCTGTTGAATTCAAAGGGCCTGTTGAATGCAAAGAACAGCAACCAGCCAACACCAGGTTAAGTAAATGGATTGTAAGAACTGGAAGTATAGCTGAATATTATGAGAGGTCGGAATTAATAAGCTGGGAAGTCTTCAGGAACCAAGATTGCCATTCTTTGTCATCTCTCTTGCCCATGCTTAGCTTCTCTTTCTTTCCAGAATATTTCATTTCTACTTCTTTTGAGACATCTGCTTTACCCTCTGCTTTTTACTGTGATCTGGTTCTCTGTGTGTGCTCATCCACACAGTTCCCAAACTCCCAGCCTTGCAGGTCTACATGACTCTCCAGTTCTAGTGACTACCACTACTTACTACAGTTCTGCTATCTCAGTTTAAATTAAGAGACAGGCTTTAATTGACTCCGCTTGGGTCAGCTGTCCAGCCCATGCCTCATCAGTTTTGATGGGTGTGATGGCACCATGACCACTAAATACATTACTTACTTTTGCAGAGTCTATGGAAGCAGCATTGCCAAGAAAGAGGGCATTGACTGGGAACCTAGTGACCCATCTTAATTGTGATAGAGTAGGATCGATATTATACACACACACACCCCGGAAATGGCTTAATGGTAAGCAAGTGGTATCATATGGGAAAAACAGCTCATGGAAAATAGTTTAATTCATTGGCTTCTACGCATTAGAGGGCAGACATACCCTTGGAGTGCCTATTAAAAATGCAGATGCCGCAGCTCCCTCCAGAGATGATTGTGTGGGGGTAGCAAGCAGGAATCAATACTTTTTTTTTTTAAGTTTTTTAAAGATTTTATTTATTTATTCATGAGAGACAGAGAGAGAGAGAGAGAGGCAGAGGGAGAAGCAGGCTCCCAAGGAGCAGGGAGCCCAATGCGGGACTCGATCCCAGGACCCTGAGATCATGACCTGAGCCAAAGGCAGATGCTTAACCATCTGAGCCACCCAGGCGCCCAGGAATCAATACTTTTTGATAAGCACTTCAGGTGAGTCCAATGAGAGTGGTCCACATACCTCATTTTGAGAAGCCCTGGTTTCTCAGCTGATTCTTAACAGAAGCCCTGGCTTCTCAGCGGATTCTTAACACATATTCAGGTGTAACTAGTGATTAGTGGTGAAGAATGTACAAAGACCCCTGACTTCCCCATAGTGACTGGACCAGGTTAGGGAGTGAGACTGAATTGTGTCCTGCATCTGAGCTCTGACTGTGATTTAGTGAGGGGGGTGTATAAACAGTTTGGGAGCCTATTCAGAGAAACTCCAAGGGCCTTCATTTTACGAGGTGTAGTTCCTGTCTGAAAAATAAAAGGTAATAAAATAAAAAAATAAATATAAAATATAATATAAATATATTATATAATATATATATATTATAAATATATTTATATTTTATATATATAATATATATATAAATATAATATAAATATAATATATATAATATATATATAATATATAAATATATTTATTTATATTATATATATTATATTATATTATATATATTATATTAAATATATATTAAATTATATATATATTTATATATAAATATATAAATATATATAAATATATAAAATATAATATAAATATAAATATAAATATATATAATATATAATATATAAATATATTATAATATAAATATTATAAATATTATAAATATAAATATAAATATATAAAAAAAATATAAAAAAATAAAAATAAAAATAAAATTATGAAATAACATGGTCGTATTAATAATGCCATAGCAGTCAGCAACACAGTGAAAGATGCCAGCTTGGATGACATTAGCTTGCCTGGGAGGATTGATGCTAAACCGTCAGGAGTGACCTAGAAGAACTTCTAGTGCCATTACTCCTACCCCACAGGAGTATCACCAGAGAGGATAATTTAATTTCTTTCATCCTCATTTCCAGGGTTTCATACCTGCCTGAAAACCCTCATTTAAAAGTGCACAGATTTGGGGCGCTTGGGTGGCTCAGTCGTTAAGCGTCTGCCTTCGGCTCAGGTCATGATCCTAGGGTCCTGGGATCAAGCCCCGCATCGGGCTCCCTGCTCCGCAGGAAGCCTGCTTCTCCCTCTCCCACTCCCCCTGCTTGTGTTCCTTCTCACTGTGTCTCTCTCTGTCAAATAAATAAATAAAATCTTTAAAAAAAATAAAAAAATAAAAAAAAAATAAAAGTGCACAGATTTAAAATGTTTCACACCTCCGCCAAGTTAAAAATGTACTGTACTGTTGCAGACTTGCTGTTTTGTGTGTATTTGAGAACGGTTTCAGGTTAGCTGGTGAGCCAAATATCTACCTTCCAACACCCAGGGCTCAGCCTGTTTTACTAGATGGGGGCGGGGGGGAAGCAGTGGAGGAAGAACAAAATTAAAAAGAAATTAAGATATGAGCTTTATACAGCCAAGAACATCATCTTCTTTCCACACAAAGCACAGAGGGTGGTTTTTCCAGGCGCACACCAGCGCGTGGCACCTGTGTTCATTTAACTGATTACACATTCAACAAAATTTGTGTGATGTGCAATCATTTGAATCACTCATTATATATTAAAATAAACGGACACAAATACAACTCGTTCTCTGCTGCTTTTGAGAAACTAAGTAAATTAAAGAACGAAACGAAGGTGATGCTAGGCTGAAGATTTGACATACAATAGAGGCAGAAAATTCAGAATTCATGGTTTTTGACTGTGATCCGATAACTTTCAGCGCTGGCGTGCGATTAGAAAAGCAAGAAGAGGAAGAACAGTGTCTGTTCCTTGTCTTGGACCACCACCCCTACGGCCCCCAGACCACTTCTCACTGGGCTTGGGACCCTAGCTCAGAGGACCACATAGCAAAAGGGAAACAGCAGGGAAAAACCGTTTGAAAAAAAAAAAAAAAAAAGCAAGTGAAAGAACGTAGGCCTCTAGCGAAGTACAGGTGTTTTGCCCGGCTTCCCCCATTATAATTGTTCGTCTCTTCCTTTTTATGGCTAATATGATTTTTTTTTAAAGATTTTATTTATTTATTTGACAGAGACACACAGAGAGGGGAAACACAAGCAGGGGGAGTGGGAGGGGAAGAAGGAGGCCTCCCACTGAGCAGGGAGCCCGAGGTGGGGCTCGATCCCAGGACCCTGGGACCATGACCTGAGCCGAAGGCAGTTGCTTAACGACTGAGCCACCCAGGCGCCCCTGGCTAATATGATTTTTACACCTAACTTGAATGGGGCTTCTGACATTATCAATCCACTGAAACTGTGTTTTCAAGGTTTATCACTTTGACAAAACCAAATTTCCTTTCTTACCTTTCTTTTTTTTTTTTTTTTAAAGATTTTATTTATTTTTTAGAGAGCGAGCAAGAGAGAGCATGAGAGGGGAGAGGGTCAGAGGGAGAAGCAGGCTCCCCGCTGAGCCGGGAGCCCGATGTGGGACTCGATCCCAGGACCCTGGGATCATGACCTGAGCCGAAGGCAGACGCTCAACTGACTGAGCCACCCAGGCATCCCCTTTCTTACCTTTCTTGACCTGTCGGCATTTGAAATGGATGACCCCCTGCCTCCTACCTGAAACATCTTCTCTTGCCTTCCCTAATAACACACAGTTGTAGTTTTCCCTTCTCATGATAGTTCCTTAGCCTTCTCCACCAACCCCTCCTCCTTCCCCTCCTTCATATTAAAATCTGAAACTTAAACGTGTTGAAAACAGAACTCTTGGGGCACCTGGGTTGCTCAGTCAGTTAAGTGGCTGCCTTCAGCTCAGGTCATGATCCTGGGCTCCTGGGATGGAGCCTCATGTCCGGCTCCCTGCTCAGCGGAGAGCCTGCTTCTCCCTCTCCCTCTGCCTGCCACTCTGCCTACTTGTGCTCTCTCTCTCTCTGTCAAATAAATAAAATCTTTAAAAAAAAAAAAAAAAAAGGAACTCTTAATTTTACACCTACCTCTCCTCAACAATATCATCTCTATCCACCTAGTTGCTCAGGCAAAAAATGAGTTTTTCTTAACTCCTGTCTTTCCCTCTCTTCATCACACGTTCAATTCATTAGCAAGTCCACTCAAGAAGACACCCAAATGTTTCCCAACCCATTGGGCTCCATTATCCTTCACCCTGATGACTATTATAGCTAACTGGTTTCTCTCCTTCTAGTAGTAGTGTTCTTTCCCTCCAATTTTATCCGTCTTTACTGATATCACCCTTGTCAATCACTATCATATTTTTCCTGGCTACTGTAATTACCTTTTAATTGACCTCCTAGCTGTACAGCCAAAGATGTCTTCTAAAAAGTACAAGTAAGTTTTGACATTTCCTATAATAGCTTCCTACTATATTTAGAATAAAATTTGGGCTCATGATAGCATACAAAGCCTTAAGTGATCTATTACTGAATTCCATGACTGTGTTTTTCTACAGTTCTTAATTTCACAGAATGTTCTTTTAAAAACTTAAATCAGATTTTGTCATTCCTCAGATTAAAAATCTTCAAAGTTTAGTAATCCTTACCACATTGTACAATGTTATATCTATTAAGAATGTTTTTGGCTCTAAGTAATGGAAAAACTAATTAATCGTGTCTTAAACAAAAAGGGATTAATTTTTCTCAAAGCTTAAGAAATCCTGAGTAGATGGTTGGTAGTATTGGTGCCGTTGTTTAATGACTTCATGAAGTAATCAGATTCTTTCTTTTTTTCTCTCCCATCTTTAGTATGTTGGTGTTTGATCTTACGCCTATCACCTCATGGTCCCAAGTTGGTTTTTAAAGTTCCAGACATCACATCTATATCATCCATGTTCAAGGTAAGAAAAAGGTAGAAGAGCTAGAAGCTGTAACAATAAGCTCACCCCTGCTCCAGGGCCTTTGCACGTATTTCTCCAGCTGGAAAGAGTTTTCCCCAGATTTTCATATGGTTTGCTCCTTGTAACTATTGAGGTCACAATACAAATACCCCAGAGAAGAGTTACTAATCCAAAGTAGCACCTCTTATTTTACTATAACTGTCTGTTTTTCTTATTGAAATCTACATTCACTTTCTACGGCTGCTATAACTAAGGATCAAAATCAGGTAGCTCAGTATCTTCCTTCAGGCTGCTGTAACAAAAATACCATAGACTGGATGGCATGCATTACTGAAATTTATTTCTCACAACTTTGGTGGCTGGAAAATCCAATATTAAAATGCCTACTGGTTTGATTCCTGGTGAGAACCCTCTTCCTGGCTTGCAGATAGACACCTTCTTGTTGTGTCCTCACATTGGAGGGAGAGAGAAAGGAAGCAAATTCTTTTGCATCTCTTCTAAGGGCACTAATATCACCATGGAGGCTTTACTCTTAGGACCTAATTATCTCCCAAAGACCCCATCTCCAAATGCTATCACATTAGGGACTAGAGTTTCAGTATACGAATTTGGGGGTGGGGTACCTATTCAGTCCACAGCACTCAAACAACAGAAATTTATTGTCTCATAGTTCTGAAAGCTAGAAGTCCAAGATCAAAGTGTCAGCAGGGTTGGTTACTTCCAAGGGCTATGAAAGAAAGAGCTGCTCCAGGCCTCTCTCCTTGGCTTGTAGATGGCCATTTTATCCCTGTGTCTTCACATTGTCTTCCCTTTGTGTCTGTATCTACATATCTTCTTCTTATAAGGACACCAGTCATATTAGATTAGGGGCCACCCTAATGACCTCATTTTAATTTGGTTACCATTGTAAAAAAATACCTATCTCAAAGGTCATGTTCTGAGGAATGGGGGTTAATAATTCAACACATGGATTTGGGGAGAGGACACAATTCAATCCATAACAAACTCAATAAATATGCACTAAACGCATGGATGGATTTGAATCCTAGCCACCATTTACTAAATGTTTACAGTGTGTCAAGTGCTACATGGAGTGCTTCATCCCATCTCCTTTAATTCTCACAGTAATCCAGTGAAGAAGGTTCTACATGTATTCTCTTTTAGAAATGGGAAAACCATAGCTGGAGATATAGTGAGTAAAAGGGCAATATAGGGGAGGCCAGGAAAAAAAATTAAGGCTGGGATGTCTGTAGCAAAATACTGAGGAAACTTCCTTTGAGACCTCTTCATTACCTTTGATGGGCCACACTGGATCATAACTAGGCAAGAAGACTGAAATGGTGAGTTTAGACAGAGGTCAGCAAACTGTTTTCTGTGACATACATATCTTAGGCTTCCAAGTCACATGGTTTCTGTCCTAACTTCTCTGTCATTATAGTATGAAGTGGCCATAGATAATACAAAACAAATGACTGTGGTTGTGTTCCAATAAAACTATTTATAAAAGCCAGTGGCCTATGACCCATAGTTTGCTAAAGCCTTAAAGAAATTTTTGCTTTGATTTTCTGTCCTTTGATTTTCCTAAAAGCAAATTAATTTTATGAATTTAGAAAAGCTATGCTGACCTGCATCTCTGAGATGCCCAGCATTTGCTTCCCTCTTTTAGAGAGAGTTGTACTACATCATTCAAACTGAGAGAATACTCAAAGTCCACAACTGTCCTCCAAAATGCTCTCTCCTCTGGAAAGTTTTTTGTCACGTCTTGTTACATTGTGAACTTATTTTCCCTCAGTGATGGCAGAAGAGAGCTGTGGGAACAGAGGAGAAGTCAAAGGGACAGAGATTCAAAAGCTAGCAATCCTGAGTTTCATTCCTGGCTGAGGGATGGACAAACAATTGGCTTCAGTGCCTATTACTTCAATTCTCCATGAGTTGTTTTCTTGTCTGAAGAGATCAGAAAACAAACATTTATCTAAGGATGTAGTCCATATGAAACTTTGGAGGTGACCTGGGAATATACTTGATAAATAGGCAAGATGAGAGTAATCTGATTAAGGGGTGCTAAAGAATTCTCCCCTGTTGCCTGAATATTTATGCATTTTCAACTTGTGAGTCCCTGTGCCCCTTGTCAGCCTTTGATGAGTATCTTGTATTTTCTCCTGATTATAAACGTTAAGGACTCAGCCTGTTTGTTTGTTTGTTTTGTTTGTTTTTTCTTCTCACAACTGCCCTACTTCATTGTGGTCTATGGAGGTCTTCTTTTTTCAAGTCTAGACACTGAGCAAGGTGGAGTGTCCATCTGCTCCACCATTCACCCCTCAGTAGCAGTGTCCTTGTGGGCCCATGTCCATTGCATTTTAAGCAGCTTGCTTCTAAAGCAACCTGGAAAACAAGACATAACAGAAGTGAATATGGGAGTTTATATGACAACATAAAGATCTTACAATAGTGAACCCTGATCTAAGACTTCTCCATGTCTTCATTTTCATTTAAGAAAAAAAACAAAACAAAACATTTTTCTTATTACAACAGTAACACATGGCAATATGTTAGACTAAATATCCTGAAAATCCCTCCAATACAAAATCCTAGGAATGCTAGATTAAATATAACAAACATCCTTTAAACACGTAGCTGAAATGATAAGAATATTAGAGAAATCTCCAGGGGCCAAGAACAAAGAGGGAGCTGGAAACCTGTGTGGTTCATCCTGAAGTTTTTCCTGAAGCATTGACTTCCCAGGGAGCATCTGTCAATTCTATAACCAACAGGCTTTCATTTTAATGGTTGAACAGTAGATACAAAATGAGGTTTTAGAGCATTCAGGATGGGGAATTGGAACTTCGAGATACCTCCACCGCAAGGACCTCAGAAATACATTCTGAAGGAAGGAAGGAAGGAACTAGAAAAAAAAAAAATCCACCTGCTGGCAAAAAGAAATGCAAATGACACTTGCTTATCAGGGCCTAAGCTCCAGACTGGGGGAAAAAAAAATGTAATCAAGGCCTTTCTATGTGTGGGTTTGGGATTTGAATTTCAGACTACCTGAATGTCTAGGAAACCCTAGTCTGAGGAATTGAAGTGGTTCTTGTTTGAGAAGACCCCAGGACACATGGCAAAAGCAAATGCACATTCCCTATGGAGGCTTGTCTCCTTATTCAGGCTCTGCAGGATTCTTATCGATTAAACCCCAAAGAAGACTTCACAAGTCAAAATTTCAAAACACATAGGAAATGAACCATTATGTATGACAATGTTAGCAGATACAATAAAAGCAAAATTAGATACTCAAGACCTTTTGATATTGAATTATCCCATACAGGATATAAGTAGATTTTAATATGTCTTTTTGCCAGTACAACACTAGTTACTGTACCTTTAAAATCAAGAAGTATGAAACCTCTAACTTTGTTCTTTTTCAAGGTTTTGGCTATTGTGGCCCCTTGGGATTCCATATGAATTTTAGGATGGATTTTCCTAAATCTGTAAAAAAAAAAAAAAAAGTCACTGGGATTTTGATAGAAATTACATGGATTGTTTTGAGTAGTATTGACATTTTACCAATATTAAGTCTTTGAATCCATGAGCACAGTAATATCTGATTTTCAGTGTACAAGTCTTCCACCCCTTAGATAAGCTGATTCCCAAGTATGGTATTTGTTTTGATGTTATTGCAAATGGAATTTTCTTAATTACCATTTCAGATTTTTCATTGTTAATGCATAAAAAAAGCAACTGATTTTTGTGTGTTGATTTTGTATCCTTTAACATTGCTAAATGCACATATTCTAATATTTTGTGTGTGGAATCTTTAGGGTTTTCTACAAAATCCTATTGTTTGTGAACAGACATAATTTTACTACTTTCTTTCTAATTTGGATGCTCTTAATTTCTATTTTTTGCCTAATTGCTCTGGCTAGGATTTCTAGTATTGAATGAAAGTAATGAAAATAGACACATTTGTCTAATTCCTAATCTTAAAGGGAAAGCATTCAGTCTTTCACCATTAAATGTGTTAGCTCAGTTAAGCTTTTCAGAATATGATCTTTATTGTATTGAGGTAGTTACCTACCTAATAGTGCTAGTTTGTTGAGTGTTTATATCATGAAAAGGTATTAAATTTCATCAAATGCCTTTTCTGTATCAATTGAGAAAATCATAGGCTCCTCTCTCCCCCATTCTATTAATGTGGTATATTACATTGATTAATATTTGTTTGTTGAACCATGCTTGCATTCCAGGAATAAATCTCACTGCGTCATGGTATATGATCCTTTTAATGTGCTGTTAAATTCTGTCTGCTAGTATTTTTCTTGAGGATTTTAGCAGCAATATTCATCATGGGTATTGGTCTGCACTTTTCTTGTAATAGTCTTTGTAGAGATTTGGTACTGGTGTAATGCATAGAATGAGTTTAGAAGTACTCCCTCCTTTTCAATTTTTTAGAGTTTGAAGAGAACTGTTAATTGTTTTGTGTGTTTCTAGGAATTTGTCTGCTTTATCTGAGATATCAAATTTGATGTACAATTGTTCATAGTATTCTTTTATAATCTGTTTTATTTCTGTAAAATCTGTAATAGCCCCTTTGTCATTTCTGATATAGGTTTTGAGGCTTTTCTATTTTTTAGTCACTCTAGCTAAAGTTTTTCAATTTTGTTGGTATTTTGGAACAACCAATTCTTTGTTTCATTGGTTTTTCTCCATTAGTTTTTTCACTCTATATTTTATTTATCTCTATTCTAATCTTTATTATTTCTTTCCTTCAGCTAGCTATTGGTTTGCTATCTTCTTCTTTTATTCCTTCCAGTATAATTAACATATTATATTAGTTTTAAGTGTATGATATAGCGATTCAACAATTCTAGACCTTACTCAGCGCTCATCATGATAAATATATTCTTGATCCTCTTCACCAATTTCACCCATCCCCTCACTTACCTCCCCTCTGATAACCACCAGCTTGTTCTCTATATTTAAGAGTCTGTTTTCTTTGTCTTCATCATTTTATTTCTTAAATTCCACATATGAGTGAAATCATATGGTACTTGTCTTACTTGTCTTTTTCTGACATATTTCACTTAGGATTATAAACCTCTAGATCCATCCATGTTGTTGTAAGTGGCAAGATTTCATTCTTTATTATGGCTGAGTAATATCCCATTGTGTGTGTGTGTGTGTGTGTACACATCTTCATTTTTTTAAATTTTATTATGTTAATCACCATACATTACATCATTATTTTTTGATGTAGTGATCCATGATTCATTGTTTGCATAAGACCCCCAGTGCTCCATTCAATAGTGCCCTCTTTAATACTCATCACCAGGCTAACCCATCCCACTCACCCCCTCCCCTCTAGAAGCCTCAGTTTGTTTCTCAGAGGCCATAGTCTCTCATGGTTCATCTCCCCTCCTATTTCTCCCGCTTCATTTTTCCCTTCTTGCTATCATCTTTTTTTTTTTTTTAACATCTAATGTATTATTTGTTTCAGAAGTACAGGTCTATAATTCAAGAGTCTTATACAATTCACAGCGCTCACCATAGCACATACCCTCCCCAGGGTCTATCACCCAGCCACCCCATCCCTCCCGCCCCCCCACCACTCCAGAAACCCTCAGTTTGTTTCCTGAGATTAAGAATTCCTCATATCAGTGAGGTCATATGATACATGTCTTTCTCTGATTGACTTATTTCGCTCAGCATAATACCCTTCAGTTCCATCCATGTCATTGCAAATGGCAAGATTTCATTCCTTTTGATGGCTGCATAATATTCCATTGTGTATATATACCACATCTTCTTTATCCATTCATCTGTTGATGGACATCTTGGCTCTTTCCACAGTTTAGCTATTGTAAACATTGCTGCTATAAACATTGGGGTGCATGTACCCCTTCGGATCCCTACATTTGTATCTTTGGGGTAAATACCCAGTAGTGCAATTGCTGGATCATATGGTAGCTCTATTTTCAACTTTTTGAGGAACCTCCATACTGTTTTCCAGAGTGGCTGCACTAGCTTGCATTCCCACCAACAGTGTAGGAGGATCCCCCTTTCTCTTCATCCCAACCAACATCTGTCATTTCCTGACTTGTTAATTTTAGCCATTCTGACAGGTGTGAGGTGGTATCTCATTGAGGTTTTGATTTGGATTTCGCTGATGCCGAGCGATGTTCAGCACTTTTTCATGTGTCTGTTGGCCATTTGGATGTCTTCTTTGGAAAAATGTCTGTTCATGTCTTCTGCCCAATTCTTGATTGGATTATTTGTTCTCTGGGTGTTGAGTTTAAGAAGTTCTTTATAGATTTTGGATACTAGCCCTTTATCTGATATGTCATTTGCCAGTATCTTTACCATTCTGTCGGCTGTCTTTTGGTTTTGTTGACTGTTTCTTTTGCTGTGCAAAAGCTTTTTATCTTGATGAAGTCCCAATAGTTCATTTTTGCCCTTGCTTTCCTTGCCTTTGGCGATGTTTCTGGGAAGAAGTTGCTGCAGCTCAGGTCGAAGAGGTGGCTGCCTGTGTTCTCTTTTAGGATTTTGATGGACTCCTGTCTCACATTGAGATCTTTCGACCATTTTGAGTCTATTTTTGTGTGTGGTGTAAGGAAATGGTCCAGTTTCATTCTTCTGCATGTGGCTGTCCAATTTTCCCAACACCATTTGTTGATGAGACTGTCTTTTTTCCATTGGACATTCTTTCCTGCTTTGTCGAATATTAGTTGACCATAGAGTTGAGGGTCCATTTCTGGGCTCTTTGTTCTGTTCCATTGATCTATGTGTCTGTTTTTGTGTCAGTACCATACTGTCTCGATGATTACAGCTTTGTAATAGAGCTTGAAGTCCGGAATTGTGATGCCACCAGCTTTGCTTTTCTTTTCCAACATTCCTCTGACTATTCAAGGTCTTTTCTGGTTCCATACAAATTTTAGGATTATTTGTTCCATTTCTTTGAAAAAAGTGGATGGTTTTTTGATAAGGATTGCATTAAATGTATAGATTGCTCTAGGTAGTATTGACCTCTTCACAATATTTGTTCTTCCAATCCATGAGCATGGAACTTTTTTCCATTTCTTTGTGTCTTCCTCAATTTCTCTCAGGAGTATTTTATGTTTTCTGAGTACAGATTCTTTGCCTCTTTGGTAAGATTTATTCCTAGGTATCTTATGGTTTTGGGTGCAATTGTAAATGGGATTGACTCCTTAATTTCTCTTTCTTCTGTCTTGTTGTCGGTGTATAGGAATGCCACTGATTTCTATGCATTGATTTTATATCCTGCCACTTTACTGAATTCCTGCGTGAGGTCTAGCAGTTTTGGGGTGGAGTCTTTTGGGTTTTCCACATAAAGTATCATATCATCTGCAAAGAGTGAGAGTTTGACTTCTTCTTTGCCGATTCAGATGCCTTTTATTTCTTTTTGTTGTCTGATTGTTGTGGCTAGGACTGCTAGTACTATGTTGAATAGCACTGGTGATAGTGGACATCCCTGCTCTGTTCCTGACCTTGGGAAAGCTCTCAGTTTTTCCTCATTGAGAATGATATTCGCTGTGGGTTTTTCATTGATGGCTTTTATGATATTGAGGTATGTCCCCTCTATCCCTACACTCTGAAGAGTTTTAATCAAGAAAGGATGCTGTACTTTGTCAAATGCTTTTTTTGCACCTATTGAGAGGATCATATGGTTCTTGTTCTTTCTTTTATTAATGTATTGTATCACATTGATTGATTTGCAGGTGTTGAACCAAGCTTGCAGCCCAGGAATAAATCCCACTTGGTCGTGGTGAATAATCCTTTTAATGTACCGTTGGATCCTATTGGCTAATATTTTGGTGAGAATTTTTGCATCCATGTTCATCAAGGATATTGGTCTGTAATTCTCCTTTTTGATGGGGTCTTTGTCTGGTTTTGGGATCAAGGTGATGGTGGCCTCATAAAACAAGTCTGGAAGTTTTCCTTCCATTTCTATTTTCTGGAACAGTTTCAGAAGAATAGGTATTAATTCTTTTTTAAATGTTTGGTAGAATTCCCCTGGGAAGCCATCTGGCCCTGCTTTTGTTTGTTGGGGGATTTTTGATGACTGCCTCAATTTCCTTAGTGGTTATAGGTCTGTTCAGGTTTTCTATTTCTTCCTGGTTCAGTTTTGGTAGTTGATACATCTCTAGGAATGCATCCATTTCTTCCAGATTATCTAATTTGCTGGCATAGAGTTGCTCATAATATGTTCTTATAATTGTTTGTATTTCTTTGGTGTTGGTTGTGATCTCTCCTCTTTCATTCATGATTTTGTTGATTTGGGTCCTTTCTCTTTTCTTTTTGGTAAGTCTGGCCAGGGGTTTATCAATCTTGTTAATGCTTTTAAAGAACCAGCTCCTAGTTTTGTTGATCTGTTCTACTGTTCTTTTGGTTTCTATTTCATTGATTTCTGCTCTGATGTTTATTATTTCTCTTCTCTTGCTGGATTTAGGCTTTATTTGCTGTTCTTTCTC